AGAGAGAGAGAGAGAGAGAGAGGCACAGAAGAGAGAGATAAAGAAGAGAGGCACAGCGGAGAGAGGCGCCGTCCACGCAACTCGCAACGAGGGCGCGGCTACGTGCACACACGCACACCCACGCACCGACACTCGCGTGTACGCCGACGTCACGGAAATGCCCTCAGCGCGCCGCCACAACGGCGGTGAAGTGTGTGAAATTAAAGCGTACAAAAGCAAAAAAAAAACGGCGTCCTCCACCACCGCCGCACTAAATTCCCAGCAGCAAGCGAGAGAGACCTGCTCTGGTGCAGGGACGCGACCAGCGGCGAGATCAGAAGAGAGGCATGGCCACATCTCAGTGGCCAATGTTTCGCCCCGCACAAACAAGAAGACCGACAGCGCCAAGAAGCAACAGTAGCAAAGTGTAGCCTGTGAAGACGCGCAGAGCAGGCGAAGGGAGAAGCAACAACGAAAGGGAGCCTTCCTCGTTTTCTGTCCGTGTTGCCTCCAGCAGTGGCAGCAGCCGTGCCTTTCAGCCGCCCCGCTCACCCCGCCGCGGTGTAGCCAGAGACCTTGCCTGTCTTCGCGTCGCGTAGAACCCGAAGCGGCGTTGCATCCGCCCCTGCCCCCGTAGAAAAAGGCGGAATAGGCGGGGACAATGCGGAGGCCGCGGCCAGCGGACCGTCGTCCACCAGAGTCAGCAGCCGGCCGTCCACCACCGCCCCAGCAGACGCACCGTCCCTGCGAATCCGCACAGCCTGCATGCCGTCGCCGCGTTGCGCCGCATCCGTGCCACTGCTGCCAGGGGCGGTGGTGAGTGGGCGGCTCAGCAGCTGGCGCCGCACGGATGGCAAGAAGTACGGTGCCTGCTTGTACAGCATGAAGTACGCCGTCGCGATGGCTGGCGACCACAACAACAGGTCGCGAATGCCGCGGGGAAGCCGCTGCAGATACTCCCCAAGAGAGTAAAAGCCCTGCTGGCCGTGCGCACGCTCCCCCGCCGACGAAGCAGCGGCACCGCTATGCGCGTAGCACCGGCGACAGAGCCGCAGCGGCAGCCGCTGCGCCCCTGAGCCGATGCGGGCCGTGGAGGCCGAGAAACGCATCAACTCTTCCCTCTTCCCTTTTCTTTTTTCTTCGTGTTGCTTGGAGAGGCTGCGTCGATGACCCGAGCAGGAAACAAGCGAACGGGGGAAAAAAAAGCCGCTGATGACACGGCGATAGAGGAGGAGATATACATTTCACGCAAGTTCTCTCTGTTCATCGACCACGCCCTTGTTTTTTTTCTTTTCTCTTTCTCTCTCTCCTCTTCCCGCCCTCATCCGCGCCACTCCTTGCCGCTGACGAACATCGCCGTGCGTCCACTCTTGCCGCCCCGCATCGCCCTGCGCGTCGCCTCCTGCAGCGTGAGAAGGTGCCGCGCAGTCGCCAACGCATCCGCCGCAGAGGCCGAGGACCTCTTCGAGGCGCCATGAATCAAGGCGGACGCTGTGCGGTCGTACCGCCGCCGCAGCTGCGCGCGCTCTCGCTGCTGCAGGCCATGCTCCTCGTTGACGCGCTGCCGCAGCGCCGCGACTGACTTCTGCCGTTGATGTCGCTCGCGGCCCTCCATCATGGCCGCCTTGGAGAAGCGGTGGCGCTGTTTTGTACGCGGCTGCCAGTCACCCGCGCAGCGCACACTAGCGCCGAGGCGTGCTGCACGCAACCCTGCGGTCCACGGCGTCGGAAGCCAGCGGCGCAGCATCGTCCACCAACAACGGCTGAGACCGGCGAGAGGGGACTGTCCTCGCGGCCCCCTCCCTCGCTTCCACGGGCGGCGGCCACGGGTTGGCCAGCGTACTAAACTCCCCTACGAGTTCCAAAGAACCGCCGCCCCACCATGACACGAAAAGGGCAAGAGAAGAAGAAGAAGAGGCGTGGAGGCAAATGGGGGCCGCACACACACACGCACAGAGGCGCACCCACGCCCCTGCATGCCCTCTTTTCGTGGCTGCTCACTCGTTTTTTTTTTTTGCTTTTGTTTTTGGAGGTGGTGGCGGCAGCAGGCACGCAGTAAATCGCGAGCACACACGCCTGGGCAAAAGAAAAACAAAAACACAGATGCGCAGGCAGGCAGCTGCAATCAGGCAGGAGGGAATAAATAAAAGGGGCGAAGAAGACGGGCGTGCGCGCAACTGCGCCCGCGCCTGAGCCCTCTCTCTCACGTGCGTGGGGAAAAAGAAGAGAAACAAGTCAAAACGGAGACAACATTGGGAGGCCAGAGAATCGGAGGGAAAACGTGTGGGAAAGGCAAAAGAAAAGAAAATAAAAAACGGAGACGGGAGGTGCCACAGGCACACCTCCACACAGACATAGAGGTTTCTTCCGCACTCACGTCACCCTGTTTTCAAAATCCTCTGCCTCCCCCTCTATTTATGTGGCATGTGTGTATATATATATAATTCCCAGCACCCCCCTCCACGTTTGTTCCTTGATCCCCTCTTCCGCTCTGTAGCTTGACCACCTCCGTCCCCTCGCGCCCAGGTGCTTCTCCCTGACCCACCACTTTACTCAAACATCCTGCCGCCAACTGCCAGCGATGGTTTTTTTTTTTTCCTTTTCTCAATCTGTGTGTGTTTTGATTTTCGCCGCTTCTAGCTCCTGCCTCTGCCACTAAGTGATGTTATGTATATATATAAATATATAGCTGGATGCTTCTATGTACATATCACATGCCTCCTGGCGTGGCTGTGCGCCCTCCGGCGAGCTCGACCGAAAAGGCGGGGAAGTGAATCACGCCTCCTCTCGCTCGCCATGCGCGCGTGTGTGTGTGTGTGCGGGAAAGAGTGTCACTCCGCGTCCCCCCCATCCTCCTCAGCTTCCTCGTTCGTTGCGGCCTCCTCTTCCTCTTCGCTGTGCCTTGCCGCAGCCATTGCCTGCCACTTCTTGCGCTCCACCTCGTCCCTGTTGACCCACAACTTCGCGATTGCCTCGTCCGTGTCAGTGCCGATGGTGAGCAGCAGGCGCCGAACGGCGGCCTCGTCCACCTCGCCGTCGTCGTCCCGCAGTCCTTCTTCATTGTTTGGGTCCGCCTCGTCGTCTTCCGGCATCTCCTCACCGGGCGGTGCGTCGTGGCCGTTCTGCTGCAGCAGCGCCACCCAGTGGTCGCGCGCGTCGCGGTAGGCGCTAGCGGTGCGTACCAATCGCAGCAGGGCGTACAGCATGACACTGTGCTTCTTCGCCGCCGCCTCAACGAGGGCGGCCAGTTCCGCCCCGCGCGCAGCTTCAGCAGACTCCTCGTTCGCACCTTCCTCCTCGACGTCGATGTAGTCGGCAGGGTTTACCGCGCTCACGTACTCGCCGTCGTGCATCAGCACACGTAGCACGCGGCCCACCCGTCGTGCCTGACGCGGCTTCGGCTGCTGCAGCGGATCCCCGCCACCCTCCTGCAGCAGGTCATCCGCAGCACCTTCCTCCTCCTCCTGCTTGCCCACGTTTTCTAGGCGCAGCGGCCGATTACGCTGGTACGTCGCGACAGGGTTAAAGGCCCGGAGCAGTTGCATGAACGTGAAGGGCTTCACAAGCGCTGCCACCTTCGCCGGAGTGTCGGTCTGTTTGGGGGTGCTGTCGAATAACATGTAGCACCAGCAGCGCAACACACGGTACATAATCATTGAGGCGGGAATGCGCTCATGACGAGGCACCGCACTCTTCTTTGCAAGTTCGGCGGCCGCTGCCGAGCTCGGGAGCGCCCCTGCAGTGGCAGCGGCCACGTACTCCGCCTCTTCCCTCTCTTTAATTTCCGCCTCTGCCCTGTCAAGCAAATCATACATGCGGTCTTGCTCCACCCGCACCTGCTCACGCTGGTCCACAAGCTCCTTCTTCAGCGTTCCAATCAGAGCCTTGCGGATGTGCAGCATGAAGCGCTGCGCCTTGTAGAAGTCGCGGCGTGTCTCCTCCACGGCGGCCGCGGCTTCCTCAACTGAGCCTTCCTCGCCAGCGCCACCGTCCCCTCTGCCGGCCGCAGCCGCACCATCGGTGTCCTCCATGTCGCTTGCCGCGCTCCCCACCTTGCCAGCGGCCGCGGCAGCCTCTTGCTCATCGAGGAGTTGCTCCGCCTCCTCTTCGGCCTCTTGGTACTTGGACCACAGCGTCTCCTCCGTCTCCCGCCGCAGTTGTATGGAGTGTTTGCATTGGCGGTAGAAGCGCTGAATGGTGTCCGCGGCACGCTTTTCACGCAGTGCGCGCTCGCTCGCCCACGCTTGGCGGTGCACCTCGGCCTTCGCCTTGAGCGCGGCAGCGGCATCGCGGCGCTCCTCCTCCTGAAGCACGTGCAGGAGGTAGAGCGCGAGGTACTCCTGCGGGTTGCTGGGCTGCGCCAGCACCGTCTCGGCCACCGCCTTGGCGAGCACGGGCCCCACGCTGCTCTTCAGATACGCACTCTCAGTCATTTTCTGCTTCTCCTTTTTCCCTCCCCTCAGGCGGAGCGGCAAGAAAAAAAAAAGGAAATAATAATGAATAATAGTAATAAATAAATAAATAGGCAAAGGTGGGGGCGCGTGAACCGGGGCAAGAAAGAAAGAAAAGGAGGTGACAAACTGCGGGGCAACGCCAACTACACTCATCGACTCCCCTCATCCTCATCCTCGCCCTCTCGCTATCGCTCTTCCCTCTCGTACCGGCATGCTTCTGTATAGTGAGTCATTTCTCCTCTCCCGCAGCCACCAACGCCGCCCTCATTTTGCCCTCGTCTGTGCGTGTGCGTGTATGCAAGTATGGGCAAACGCAAATGCACTTTACGAATGGCGCAAGGGCATCAAGGGGAAGAAAGTGAGAGAAATACATGCATAAATCCACAAGCACCCACGTTCCTCCCCCGCCGCAAGCCGCGAAATTCCACGCAAGAGGCAGCATGGCTTCCTCACCCCTTTGCGGTCCGCTCTCTCTCGCCCCAGGAGGCAGATGTAGACGACAGGAGCAGCAGCGGCGCCATGCCAAACAGAAGGCCCACCATCATGCCGACGGTGCTACCCACCCATGCGGCGTTCCCACTCGACGCCGAGGCGCGCTGCGCATGCGTGAGCGTGGGCGGCTGTGCCAGAACTGACCGGTGCGACAGGCGCTCCGCAAGGCCGTGCATTTGAATGCCAGCCGTCCCCGACACGACACCGCCAAGCGCCGCTGCTGCCATCGTCGACAGACCAAAGGCCTCCGCACATCTCTTGTCAATGGCGTCACCGACGGTCACAAAAATGGTATTGTCAAGCATACCAAATGCCATGAACGGGATGGCGGCGGACAGTGCGATGCGGTGCCACAAACCCCAAGAGATGTAACCCGCGGCAGCCTTCGTCGTGGTCGCCGCAGTGGTGACGGCGGTATGTACCGCTGACGTGGTGGCGTCTTGCGCCTTCGCCGCCGCGGGAGGCGGGTCGCAGCGCTTGGCTGCACGCTCCCGCACCGCCGTGTTCACCCAGGCGTCGTACTCCTGAGAGGAGATGTTGTCATCCTGGTCCTTGTCCACCGCCCGCAGCTGCGCCTCAACGGCGTCTTGGCCAAAGTACTCCTGCGTGGTGCCAATGACAAGCAGTGTCCGGAGGGCGTCACCTGACAGCAAGGAGAGGAGGCGCGGGCCGAAGGTAGCGTCCTTTTCAAGCAGCGCCGCAGTCGCCGCCACGATTTCCTCGCAGTTTTCCAAGCCCCTTTCTTGTTCCGCTGAAAGGGGCGGGAGGGGTGGTGAGGGCGACGGCGGAGCGGCGGCAGCCTCCGGGGGTGTTGTTCGCTGGTAACTCTGCAGCACCGCACGCACCCGATGCACCGCCTCCGCCAGCGCCTCATCGCCCGCGCCGCCGGCGTGGCTGCCAGCTGGGCCGCCGACGCCTTTCTCTAACGGCACAGCCACCACTGTCCGGCCCGCCCCGCCGGCCGCGTGGCGTCCCACCGCGTGCCTCGCAGAGACGCCTCCGCCCGCGTTGCCAGTTTTGCTGTCGCCGCTCTTCCCGCCAGAGCCCACCCTGGCCTTCATCGCGTGCGCCTGCGCGTCCTTCATGAGTTGGCCCCGTGAGTTGGTGGAAGAGGCGGCACACGCCACCGTCGCCACCCCCGCCGCCACCGGTGGCTGTCTCCTTGCCGCCGTCGCCGGCGGGAGTGTGTGGGCCACAAACGTCGTGCAGGAGCGACGCAGCAACCACATCTCTCCCTTTCCCTCTATCCCTCGCTATTTCCCTCCTTTCCTTCTTTTCTTCCTTTCCTCTCCAACTTTTTAATATTCTTCACCTTTCCGCCTCTCTACCGCGCCCGCACGCAAAGCCCTGGCTCAGTCTCTCCCCAACAGGTCAAGAGAAAGAGATGCCGGGGGCTCGCGAGGGGTCCCACTCCGCACCCTTCTGCTTTGTGAGAAGCCAACCCTTCCTTTCACCACCGCTTGACCCACCCGCCGCGCTCTCCGTGCAACTGCAAGGATGTATGCGTACAACAATGTGTTAGGTATATGTATGTGTATGTATCTGCAGAAAAAGCAAACAAACACACCTTTCACCTGGTTTCCACTAATGCTTAAATGCAGTTTCACTCCTAGTGGCACATCGACACTCGTCTCACGGGAGGCGCGCCGGCAGTGGTGGTGGTGGTGGTCGGAGGAGGAGGGAGAAGAAGCAGAAGACCAGCCAAAAACAAAAACACGGGAGGGTAAGCGCAGCCCGCGTTCTCTCCCTCTCTCTATGTGGCTATAACTTGTTTGTCTGCTTCCTTTCCTTACCTTGCTTTTCTGTATGTCCTTCACTCATAAACTGCCTCGAGGCTGCAGCAGGTAGAAGCGAGGGGAGAAAGACGAGGGGGCGGTTGACGCACCGGCAAGAGCAAAGCAACACGCGTCAGTCGAGAGGCAGCAGGACACCCGGCGCGGGGACTGGAGGACGCACAGCGCCCGCTGTGAAGCTGATACGTGGGCGGCAGGAAGCAGCCGAGCAGGGACTTTGGCCCGCGCGAAGGCTAAAGGAAAGGGCACACGTATACACGCAGCGAGACGAGAAACAAAACGAAGACAATAAACAATACAACGAACTATGGCTCCTGGATACATGCTATTATGCGTGGCAACCCTGCAGAGGAGTGGGCACGGGGCACAGGTCCTGTTAACCGAGCACACACGAATAGAAAGCTGATCGTCACCACAACCAACACCGGGCACACGTCAGAAGATGCGTAAATGTAAATAATAATACGTCCCCCATATACACATACACACACAATTAGCAATTTGTGCGCCCAACCGTTGCACCTCGCCGTTCCGCATATTTGCTCAGACGCCCACGGGCACACACACAGCCACGGACGCACACACGCACACGCAGAGAGAGAGAGATAGAGAGGAGGGCGGAGGCTGTGCGTGCATGCATGGGGTGGAGGGCACGGTTTACATCACATGAGAAACGAAAAAAATAACGAAGAGCCAAGTGAGAGAAAGAAAACGAAAAAAAAAAGAGAGGAACAAAGGGAAAAGGCAACAAACAGAGCCATAGAGTAACAAACTGGTGCCAGTAAGTGGAAAAGGGGGGGCGGCAAGGCGTGCGGCTGTGGAAGAAATGTCGTCAGCGTCGCCGGGCCGCACCCCCAACACCCTCCAGCGGCCACTTTTGTCTCCCCACCACTGACGCAACGAGGCACTTGGCGTTTCCTCACCGCCACTTTGTCGCCTCGTGTCACACGCGCACCCACACATACATACTGACAGAGAGACCGATATAATACTTAGACGCTCATTAGTAAGAGAGGAGAGAAGAGGAGGAAAGCAAAGAAAAAAAAACACATCAAATCGAAGTAATGCCCGGCACTGAGTGACGCTGTATCGGCAGCTCAACCCAAATTTATTACACCTCGCGTATTACGTCGCCTGAGGGAAAGCGTCTGCGCGAATGCGAGAATGCATGCATGTGTATAGGAACAAAGACAACTGTGAAGCTGGGCGCTGAGCAGTCTCACACACGAATAAGAGAGAGGCACATAAAAGGGAAAATGGAAAGGGACACAACCGCTAAGGCAGAAGCAGGCGCAAAGGAACCGAGAAAGCCCCCTTCTTCACAAAGCATCACTCTACACTGCCCGTTCATTAAACTGCACTTTTAACTTATTTTCTACCCATATACCACATTCACTTTACAATGCACCCAAACCGTATCTACTGGAACAATTTCGGAGTCTTCGTTCTCTTTCTCATTACTTAGCTAGGGCTCGTTTGCCCGCTTTCACCTCGTCTCGGTTCACACCCTGCGCGCAATGTCGCGGCCGGCTGATTTCAGCGAAGGAAGCACCCCGGTGCGAGGGACGCCCCCAACACCGGCAACCTTACGTCTTTTGGAATCTCGGCCTGCGCCTGCGGAGGCGGCGGCGGCAGAAATGTTCGATGTCCGACAAATTTCGCCCATCTCGCCTGTTGGATTGGGAGACAGGGGGTGCGTCGGCTGAGGAACCTGGCGGAGATTGTAGAGAGAACTATTCAGGGAGTTTGCGCTCCCACACCTCCTCTCACCATCCAGAGAAGCAATACACGTGACAGGTGCAGTGTTTTTTGCGTCCTCACCGTCGAGAAAGGACGGTTTGTGCACGATTGCTGCAGCGCCGGCCTCTGAATTTTGAAAAGTGCTTCGGCCGTGGGAAGGAGAAGACCGATGCGCCTCGTTGGGACTCTCCGCTCCATCGTTCGCTGCGCGTTGGTCCCCCTCCGCTAGCTCGATGAGTGACACCTCGTTGGACGGCGGTAGCTCCATCAGTGGCTTTATGGCGCGTCTCCGGGTCGGTTTCATGCGCCGCCCCGGCGGCTTGTGAAGCACCGCCTTCTCCGCCTTGGCGTTCTTTGGGGAATGAAAAGTGGCGCCTTCTATGGGCCTGGCCAGGGCCAGGCCCGCGCCCAAAACATGTGGAAGTGGACTGCGCCGAGCTTCCCCGCCCGGCGCGCGACTGACAGTCCTGGAGGGCTTCTCGGAGGTGCCGCTTCCCGCAACCGACTTCTTCTCATTGAGCTGAGGGGGAGGGCGCAGCGGGGACTGAGCGCCGCTGGCCTCACCTCCGGGCCTAAGAGTGCAGTGGCGATTGAGGCTTTGCTGCTTCTCCATGATATCATTGAGAATCACGGCACGGTCAGTGGCCTCAAGTATTCGAAACTTCCGCCGCTGGGTTTTCTCCTCCATTAGGAGCCTTTGTTCAGCTAGCCGGCGTGGCACATTGCACCTTGCTAGCGGCTGCGGCTGCCGTTGGTGGGGAGGCTTTTGGTGGTGTTCATTGGCGAATTTCTGTGTCTTTTCCAGCACCCCAACTCCGGGAGCTTTAGGGGAAAGGGGAGAGAAAATATCGTGGGGTGCGTCGTTCGCTGGCACCACCTCGCTTCTCTTGTCGCCACACGGCACTTCTCCTGTCCGTGCCCTTGCCTTGGCTACCATCGCCGTCCGCCCTGTGGACGGCCTCGGCGCATCCCACACGCGAAGCCCCACTCCCTGGGCCACCACCAGCGCAGCCCTCGGTCCCTCAGCAGCCCTCTTGGCGGCTGCCAAAACCCTCGCCACGTTCTCCTCCAGCGATCCAGCTTCCGTTGTGACCTCCGCCGTACCGTCGGGTGGCTTCGCGCCGGCGCCGGCGCCCAGCGCCGGGGGGACGGCGGCGGCTACTGTGCCTTCCCACGACGACGGGACAGACGAGGCACTTCTCACCGCAGATCCGAACCCGTCCTTCTCTGCAGGTTCTGTTCGCAGCGCCCCCACCCGTCGCTTCGCCGCATCCCCTAACAGCATCCTCACATCCTTCTCTACACCACCACCACCATCACTGCCACCTGGCGCAAACGGTGCACCTCCACGAGGCGCTGCAGACGCCTCGGACTTGGTCGGAATAAATTCTAACGGTGACGGGGCAGTTGCCCTCCCTGCCACGCCCTCAATTGCAGCCTTTTCAGGGACCCTTGTCAGCCCAGCGTCTCCTGGGTAAGTGGGGGGCCGGACGGTTCTGGTGCCCGGATGCCGTTCCAGGGCGAATCTACCAGTATTGCTGCCCGGGCCATGCGTGAATGGCCCTGCTGTGGTGGGAGGCACACATGCCCCGCTTGTTCTTGGGCGAGGCTTGTCGGGAATTGGGGGCAGATGCAGGTCCCCCATGGGATTTGGGGGGCGCGGTGGCGCGGTGGTCCTCCCCGGCACATTCGTCCCGATCTCTGAAACTGGCGGCCACTGGGCGGGCGTGACTGCATTCGTGAAGTTTCTCCTCGTTAAGGGGCTTGACGGCTCTTGCGGGGCTTCCGTTCCCTGGCCGGGAAATTTTCGCCCTTTTGCACTCAGAAAGGCCGGTGGTAGTGCGTTAGTGCCGCCGTGGGCATTGCCAACGCCACCACGTCTACCTGTGCCTCCTCGAGAGAAGGTGCTGAGGCCGATACTGGCTTCGGTCCATGGCGACAACGGACCCTCCGTGCAGCCACCGCTTACTAGCGACATTGCCCGCAACACCGACTCAGTGCGACCAGTTGGTCCAAACGGCATGGATAGAAACAGTGGCTCATTGCTCGGCGTGTACGTCGTCTCCGAGACCTCCTCGGAGGTGTACTCGGAGGAAGTTTCCGACGCATACGCCGAGTCCGAGGTGGCTGCTGAAGCTTCAGGGGACTGCGACACAGCCGTAGAGCTCGACTCCGCTACTCCACCAGGGCTCTGGTGTTGAAGTCGCTGCAAGGCAATTCTAGGCTGCTGCTGCCGCTGGTGTGGACGCATTTCTGCCGATTAAGACGAGGGGCAAAGAAATAAACGACGGCGAGATACGCGTGAGGTTTCCTTTTGCTTTTGTTTTTTAGCCCCTCCCCCTCCCCGCTTTCTTCGCCCCTTCCTATACTTTCCCGGAGTGAGAGCGAAAGAGAGAGAGAGAGAGGCACGGAGGGCGAGGCCCTAACGCGCTCGGCCACTCTCGCGTTCCTGTCCCTGCCAACGTCGCACTGCCGCCAGTCCAGCCTCAGCCTACGCCCCGCCCCTTTTGCTTTCGCCGCCTCCCCTCACTCACTCCTCCTATGCGGGCGCCTGCGTGGTGAGCTCCTGAGAGACGCCCTAAACGCGGCGAGACGCACACACAGAGAGATGTGCCCGCACACATATATAAATAGAAAAGAAGCAAAAAAGAAGAAGCAGCAGATACAACACAGAAACGTCCAAAAGTTACTTGTGTGCGTAAACGCACCCCACACCCCGTTGCATGCATTTGTGTGCATGCAATATAACGGTGATCTTGTGTAAGGTTAGGTATAATGACAGCTTCCCAAGTATGCCTTGCCATATATATGTAATCTTCTTTGAACTCGCTGCACGTCCGCCTAGAAAAGGTTCAGGTCCTTCCACTCCTTCCGCTGCCGCTCCAACTCCGCGGCGAGTTCGGCTCGCTCCTTCGTCTCCCGCTCCACGCGCTGCTTCTTGCGTGCCGCCTCCTCCGCCAGCCGCGCCGCCTCCAACTGCTGCTCCACAAGCTGCTCACGGCGTCGACGCCGCGTCCGCTCCTCCTTCGACAAGTTCGCCTCATCCGCCGCGCCAAGACTGACGCCGCCGCCGTGGTCGCCGCCCACCGGGCCTACGCTCGCCTGCCGCCGCGCCGCCTCCTCCGCCTCCTTCTCCTTCTTCTTCCTGTGGGCAATCTTCAGCCGCACGAGGATGGCCTCGTTGCTCAGCAGCTTGTGCGCATTTTCGGCGACGTGGAAGGCGTCGGCGGCCTTCGCCAGGGTGCACTTGTCGGGGTGGACCTTCAGCACAAGCTTGCGGAAGTTGCGGTTGATGTCAGCGAGCTCGCAGGACTCCGCGTCGAGCCGCAGGATGGCGAAGGCGTCCGCCTTCGAGGCGGCGCAGTGCAGCAGCCGCCGAATCTCCTCCGCCTGCTCCTCCTCCCCGCCCATCCACGCGGCAACGCCCTGCGCAGCGACGACTTAACCCCCGCCCACGCCGGAGCCCGAAACTAACCAAAGAGACCAAACAACCAGTGAAGGGGCGTTGGAGCAGCGCAAGAAAGAGCACACACATACACAGAGAGAGAGACGCAGAGAGAGAGAGAGAGTGAGGGAGAGAGAGGGCCGTCTACGGCCTGCTTCTCCCTTGCCGAAGCCACGAAGAGCGAGAACCGGAAAAAAAGTCAGTTGCTATGAGGAGCGCACACGTGCATGATTTCACCATCCAGCGCAGACTCCCAGGCGAGTCTGCGAACAAAAAGAAAAGGAAAGAAAGAAACGAATAATTCTCAAAAAAAAATGCCGACGAAAAGGAGCCGCTTTCAAAAACGTACCCTTCTGTGAGGTCTCCCACAGTAAGCACTGCGAAGCAAAGTTCACTGTGGGACACACTATCACACACACACATATATATATATATATATAATATAATATAATGTCTGCAAGCCGCGGCTCTTCCTCTCGCAAGCTCTCAAGAAAAGAAAAGCATCAAAATACAAAAAAAAAACAGCAACAACAACGCGTGCGACCCACCGTAACCCACGACGCGCAGACGGCAGCTGGCATTGAAGGAGAGAAGCAAGGGTGCACACCGAGCCCACGTGAGCTCTCTCTCTCTCTCTCTCTCTCCGCCACTACGTGCACGCGGCAAAGAAGGTTATGATCGGTCTGGGATTACGCCCCTTCCTTTTTTTTTTCTTCTTTTGTTATTTTTCTCCTTTTCGCTTTCCAGCCCCCTCCCTCTCCTTCTTTTTCTTAATTTTATTTGACTTTAAAGAAGATTCACCGACACGAATATTTGTTTGAGAATATGCGGTAACGCCTGCGTGTCCAGGCACTCAAAACCGTGACCGGGCGGCATCTCCGCCTGCAGGTCCTCCGCCTGCTCCCCCAGCGTCGCGATGAAGATGCAAAACATCTGCACCTCCCGGTGGCTCCGCATAATGGCGCTCAGTCCACGCGGACTAATGCCGTAGCGCGGCAGGTTCGCGTCGCTGATAACAAACACCAGATACGCGTCCCCCTTTTCCGCCGTGACAAGGTCAATGCTTTGCCGCATCGCCTCCACAGTGTTGTCGCCCGACCAGCAGTACTGCGCGTGGGCCACCATGCGCTGGCACACCTCCATGCGCGCCTTCTGGTGGGCGGGCGGCTGGCCAAAGGGGACCAGCTCAATGCACGCGCTGTCGCCGTTGTGGCCCACCATCGCGTAGTCAATCTTCTCCTCAAACCCGGCAAACGCCTCCATGACCATCACGGTGGATTCCAACAGCTTGGACAGGCGATGGTCCATTCCCTCAAAGCGGTACATGCTGGCACTCACATCCAGCACGAACAGCAGACGCTTCTTGTGCTTGGACTGAAACGGGTTCGTTTCAGTCGAGTCGGCGCGTCGCTTGTAGATGTTGCGCTCCCCGACAATGCCTTCCACGATCTTGCTGTCGTCCCAGACGCCATCCGTCTGGCCCCGCAGCCATGTACGTTCACCCTCGGCTGCCTTCAAGCCGCCCAGCAGGCTTCGCAGCAACGCGACCGGGGCCTGCACGCGCTCCTGGAGGGACCTGTACTGCTCGTACTCCCGCGCACTCATACCAATCTCCCGCAGTCGCTCCTCTAGCGCGGCCTTGCCCATGCGTCTTGCCTCTTCGATAATGTTAGGTGGCACCCGTTGCTTTTCCTCCGGTGAAACCTGGTGCACCGGCCACCCCTTGTCGAGACGGTACGGCCCGACCAGGCCGCCAAGTCCGGCAGTGTCCGTGCCGCCAGTGCCACCCGCGTAGGTGTTGCCGCCGTGATGCTCCTCGTCATCCTCCTTGCCGTGCTTTAGCGTGCCGGAGGGTCTCTTTCGCGGGGTACTGTACGTCATCGGTAGTGGCTGCCGCGGAGCTGACGCGACGGCGCCGACCTGCTTGACGGAGCCCTCAAGCAAGGCGGACCAGCTGCGGTAGCGCTGCTGCACGCGCTCCTCCACGACGTCGGCCACCGACACGCGCTGTGCGGCGTTGTCGTACCACAGCGCCACCCCCGCGCCCTCGTCCAAGACAAACAAGGGGTTACCAGCGGCTTGCAACCGGGATGACGCGGCGGCGGCATCCTCCGTCGCCGTCGCCGTCGCCGCGGGCGGGGGCGCAAACCGGCGCACCGTGTGCTGATGAAAGTCAACCGCAACGGTCCTGCCGCCGTGTTTGGCTGACGACGGCTCCGTCGCCAGCAGCTGGTGGTGGGGATGGTTGACGCGCAGCGCGCCGGCACCGACGGCAGCTGCGGCGTCGGCATCGGTGAATACACGCATTGACCACGTCTTCTTCTCTGGCGAGTATTCCTCCACTGCCATGTACACAACGCCGCCACGGCTTGTACCGTTGCCGCTTGGCACAACGACAGCCCCCTTCAGTTCAGCCGGTGTGAGAGGCTGCAGCAGCGCCTGATGCGACGCCGCAGCAGCAGCCGCCGCCGCCGGGGACTGAGTCCCCACGAACCCAACGACGTCGCCGGCGATGCCGCTTGGCAGCTGGCAGAGGCTTGCCTTCGCCTCCCCGTCTGCAAAGACGGCCAGCTTCAGCACGCACTTGAGGACGGTTTCCCCGGCCCGGAGGGACACCATCGCCAGATTGTCGGTCACGAACTGCACGGCATCGACGCCCTCCGCGGGGACCGTGACGGCGACGCGGCGACCGTTCATCCAGACGAACAACTCTGCACTGCGCGGTCGCGTCATGGCGACAATGCCGCTCAGTGGCCGTACGGCAGCGAGGCACGCCGCCGCCTCGGAGGAGGGCGGTGCCATTCGGACCGGAAGCACGGCGCCCCGGGCGCATTCTGCCGCCGCCGCGTCTTGCTGCGGGGCAACGCGGGAATGGGGGGCCGCAGCGGCCAGCGGGTTAATCAGCAGCACGAGGCCTGACGGCGCGTCCACCACAGCCACGCGCGGGACCGGGGCGCTGAGGGTGTCTTGCAGCCAGTCAGCCGATGCGCCTGCCGCCGCGGCGAGCGAGGCGGCGTGCGACTCGGCGTTGAAGGCCAGCAACAATGGCGCCAGGGCGGACGAAGAAGCCACGGCAGCGACGGCGGGCAAGTACTGTGTCAGGTCAAAAAACTGAATATGACCTGGAGGAAGATGCGAGCGCCGCACCGCCGCCATCCCGAGGGAGACGACAGACGGCGGCGCCACCACGGCGACAATAACGCGCTTACTGCGACTGCCGCTGTGACTCGCGTCGCTGGGGTCCTCCTCACGCAGGAGGAGGACGGCGAGGGTGACTAGGGCCCCCGTCTCCGCGTCTGTCTCCATCGGTGCGACACCCAACACGACGTCGCCTGCACGCAGAAACGGAAGACGCGGGGCCGCCAGCCATTCTGTAAACCCCTCCGACTCGCCATTCGGCAGAGCGGCGGCAAACTCCGCCTCTCTGTAGCGCTCGCACCAAGTGGGCACGGGTTGCGCAGGGCATGGCCCACCGCACTCGTCGTCGGTGAGAAAGCGCACCGGAAGCGACGTCGCACCTTCCGCGGATGACGCCGCCGCCGCCGCCCCCGGCACTTCCAGAGGCTGCGGCAGGACCTGCAGCGGCAGCGGCTGCCCAGCACGGAGCGGCAGGAGGCGTCGCATGCCGCCGGCGGTCATAAGCGGGTGGAGGTGCAGGTGCAATACCTGACGGACGAGGTGCAGGGTGTTTTCGTTGCGTGCGTCAAAGTTGAAGACGTTGTTGAGGGCGTCGTAAATGCCATCATGTGGAAACGCCGCCATGTGCTTCACCACGGCTATCAACTCACGCAGGGAGAAGGGGTAGGTGAGGTGGCCCTCCTCAAAGCTCTCCTGCAGACGCTGGAACGCCCCAATGAGTCGCACCAGCAGCGCGTCGGGGATGCTTGGGCCGTACGCCTTCAGCACACGTAGTTGCGAAAGCGCATCCGGGTTGCCCATCACGTAGGACGCAAACAAGTCACCGCACTCACGGTAGAAGTCGTTGCCGTGGAACGGAAACCCTGGCGGATTTGCAAGCACGATGATTCGAAAGTCCGGGTGCATGGCAATGACATTTGCCGTCTCGCCGGCGTCGCCGCCTGCGGCCATGGCACGTGCGCGTGGGCCGCGTATCTGCCGTCCATCGCGGAGGCGCATCTCGTGATCCTCCACGAGTCCCTTCAGCACCTGCACCACCTCCACCGGGGCCTTGTCAATCTCGTCCACGACGAGGCAGTGCCCCCGCTGCACCGCCTTCACCAGCGGGGAGTCCGACCAGACGACGCGGCCGGCCTCAACGGTCGGATTGATGGTGAGGGTGCCGACAGTGGTGTCCCGGTGGAGTTGTATGTACTGCCGCGGCACGCCTATGCGGGCAAGGAAGGCGTCTACCACCTTGTTCTTCCCAACACCCTGGTTCCCAATCAATAGGATATTATTTCCCACAGCGTACTGCTTTGCGAGCCAGGCAATGATGGACTCGTGCACAGGATTGGAGTGGAAGTAGGGAACATACGGCACCATCGCCCGCTCCTCCTCCGAGTACACGCGATTGCTGCACAAAACAAGTTTGCCATGCACCGCGAAGACACGCGCAGGCGCATGGCCATTTCCCTCATTTGTCCTGTTGAGCGCATCTGAAGCTGCGAGCTCCACGAGAACATCTTGGCGTTTGCTTCGACGTCCTTCCGACAGTTCGGCTTCCGTGCGTGCAACCTTTCGCGTCTGACGATGGGGGTGCTGTTGTTGTTGCTGTTGTTCTGGTTCGTGACGGCCCACGTCAGAAAAGCCGCAGGAGCGCATCACCTGCCTCACCTGCTCGGCCGTCAGTGCGTTCATAAGCGGCAGCAGCACTGCGGACTCCACACCGGGCGTGAAGTCATCCGGGTAGCGCACACTGAAGCGGATTAAGTGGAGCAGCTGCCGTAGACTCAGCTGCGGCACCTTGGGCTCGGTCTCCTGCAGACGTTCGAGTGCATCGCGCAGGCGCAGAAGCCGGTCAATGTCACGCGTGACAGCCTCCAGCGTCCTCTCAGCCTCCGTGCCACTATCCTCCTCGGCGAGAGCGCCCATTTCTGTTCGCCACGTTTGCCGTTCGTTTGTCGCCACCCGTGCGAGGACGGCGTGCAGCGCCGCGCGCGTGGTGGCCGGCATCATCACGAGCCCAAAGAGAGAGGTCACTTCGTGCGTGACTCTCCAGGACCCCTGCTTCGGCCTGCCGCCGCCACCAGCAAAGACTCCGCACCGCGCGGTCGCCACGACGCGAAAGGAGGGGTGCACGGGAAAAATGCGCCGTGCCTGCATTTCCTGGTCCGTCGCCATCAACTCCCGCTTGAGTATCTCGTACTCCCGCTGCGACCGGAGCAGTGTGCCGTCGTAGAGGCTCGTGTTCCCGTCCACGAGGAGCTGTTGGAGGGACGACAGCATTCCATGTGGTAGTTTGTCGACGCCGTCAAGGACGGCGATGTGGCCGCCCAGCGCGGCCTCCACAAGTGCGCTGTTTTCCCACCTTGTGTCCCCCGTCGAGGCGTCCGTCGTGCGGCGCTGGAAGAGGTCTTTGTTCGTCATGTCGGCGTACATGTACATCGTCTCCGTGCGATACCCCGCCAAGTGGGCAAACTCGCGAAGCAGCGTCGTCTTGCCGCAGCCGGTTGGCCCGAGCAGCAAAATATGCTGCCCCGCAATGTGCAGCTGCAGCATGGACTGCAGCACGTGATAGTGCGCCGGGGTGAACACGCTGCAGGGCGTGGGGCAGCGCTCGGCCACCACGATTGCCCGTCCCGCCTCTTCCCGTGTTGCGGGGACGGCGGCCGCACCCAGGTAAATCGGCAGAAGATAGGTGCCGCCGCCTTTGCTGCAGGCAATGCACGCGTCCCCCACCACGGTACTGCGGCCGTGCTCCGCTACACGGATGTTTTCAACCCGTAGCACGTCGTTGAACTCCTCCGGACGACGAGCCGCCTCAGGCTCCTCGCTGCCTCTCTCAGCGCCGTCACGGCTACCACGGCGCCGCTGGGAGACCACATTCTCGCGCAACGCCTGACGCAAGCGCCCCTGTCCTCGTGTCGGGGAGGAGCCTCTTACAGCACGGGGGCTCGTGGCACCCTGCTCCGCCGCGCTGAGGTCGCCCGCCTGGTCGATGCCGACGTCCTCTCCGTCATTGTCGATCGAAGTGCGGCGGCATTCGTACAACGGAGCGGCAATGTGGCACGCGGCGAGCACCCGCTCATACTCACGCCTGCGACGCGTGGACTCCTCGAGGTGTGCGGCGCCCGCAGTTGCGGTCTGCTGCGCGTACAGCATCCACGGGAAGGCGCGCGGGAGGATTTCCCCGAGAGGAATATCAGGGAACAACTGCAGCTGCCTTGACAACACCGCAATCTCGTAGCTGCCAATGGTGTGCAATCCACGATGCGTCATTGCCGCCCCGCCGCCACTTGTCTGGGGATTGTTGCCTTGTTCACGGCCGCTGCCGCCGCCCGCCTGCTTCCCACCCACGACAAAATCCTTCGTGCTCGCGTTTACCTCATCAATGATGGATCGGAGCTTTAACAGCGACTCCGCCGCATCCGCGCCCCGCCCACCGCTCACCACCGCAGCGGCAGTCGTCCCCTGCGTCACCGCCAGTCCGGGCAACGGAATGGTAACGTAAAGGCATTGAAAGCGTGAGCGCAGCGGGGGGTCGAGTGGGTTGCCGTCGTATGGGGGAACAGGAACTGTGAGACCCACAACGCGAAAGTGCTCGGAGACGCGAATGAAGCCCATCCGGCGCAACTCCTCCTGCGCCGCCGCGTGTTTCAGGGCATCTTCAGCACCCTGCCTCTCCCTGCCCTGGTCGTCGCTGCGATTCTGCTCGTATCGGCCTCGCCTCGTGGAGAGAAGTTCCTGCAACAGCCGGTCATATCGCTCCGGGTGGATGAGCATCATGCCATTTTCAAGGTGCATCTCACGGTTCTCCAGAAGGTTATTGATCACCGGCAGCACATTACGCTCCACCTTCTCCAGACCCTCCAAGAGCAGCAGCTGTCCCTCGCGGGCCGCCACCACGACGCACTGGTCATCGTAGACAAGTGTGCCATTGCGTATCTCGCGGCGCTGGCCGAGGTCGCTCTCGGTGGTGTCGCGATTAAGTGAAAGGCACTGCACCTCACGCCGCACAAGGTGGGAGTACATCTGCACTAGCCACCGCAGCGCGGGGCCGGGCTCGCCCACGAGGCACATGTCCTGCCGGAGCTGCTCCTTCTGGCACATCCAGCGCAGGTAGCTGCGCGTCGTGGGGTCCTGCAGCTGAAAGAAGGCGTTGCCTCCGCGCAGCTGCAACCCGCCGTCGCCGAAGCCATGGGTGGCAAACTCGTCGCTGCTCTCGGGTTTATCCGCACCATCGCCGCAGCTCGCGGCACCGGGAAGGAGCCAATTGACATGCTCCGGGTGGTGGAGGCTCGTCGGCACAGGCACCGTGATGTCCCCAATGGTGAGCAGGAGGCCGTCGCTGCCGCTGCTGCTACCGCCTCGGCCCTGAGTGAAGAGGTGCGAGCTGGCAAACGGCGCTGCTGCCTCGACCACTGCGTGGCGCGCCAGCATTCCGATGAGGGTGCGCTGGCGATGCCTAAACATTGAATTTGACACTACTTTTTTTCTACCTCCGCGCACGTTTTCATTCGCGAAACGGAGTCCACGCAGAAATCGTGAGAGGAGCACACCGAAATAAGAAAAGAAGTACAAAAAAAAAGGGGGCATACATTGGCGGCGGCCCACAGCAAGGACGGATGGACGCACTCCCCTCCCCGCTTTGCCCAACAAAAACCCATACACCCACGCCCACGCACCCGCACCTACAAGCGTGAATGTCACTACGATACTTCATATTAGTCATGCAAGGGGGAAATCCGCGTGGCGGTGGGTCAGCTCCCACACGCGTTGGATCTCCACCACTGCCTCCTCCGCCTCCGCCACGCTGAAGAAGCCCAGCGTGAGCGTCACCGCTTTGCCGGGCTCCGCTGCAGAATTCACGTGCGTCAGGCCCCGGCGCACGCGCGAGTCCTCCTCCTGCTGCTGCTGTCCGTCGTGTTGCTGATATCCAGTGCACACAATGACACCAGTGAGAGAGTTGCAGGAAATGGATTGCATCGCGGCGACGGTAAACCACCGCGAGTGCATCTCACTATGGTGCAGCGGCAGTTCCACCGCCAGCAGCTTGGCGTTGTGACGAGGAACAGCATAGAGGCGCTCGGTAGAGAGCACGAGTTGACAGAGAAGTGGCTGCTGTTCTCTCCTCGCCCCTGCTGCAGTGGAAGTGGCCGCACGAGGGAACTCCATGGCGTAGACTTGGTACTGAAACACCTCCGGCTCCGCGATGAGACTGTCCTCAAGCCGCTCATGCCAGTAATTCATCCGCGCCTCACGGAAGAGGCAGCACCACTCCTGCTCCAAGAAAGGGGAACCTTCACTGGGAACATGCGGCACCCCGGCGGACCACGGTGGTCGCACGAGGCCGACGTGAAACTCCCGCACTCGCAGTCCGCCGGGAGTGCCGTCGGGCGCTGTCACCTGCACCTCCGTGAACACGTCGTCCACGCAGCGGCACTGCACCTCCGCCATGTAGCGCTGCAGCAAGGTGCGCTGCGCGGACGGTTTGGGGCCCTTCTTCCGCGTGCTGAAGTACTCAATAGCGAAGCCGTGGCAGTTGGCGCCTGCTTCGTTGCGCTCTGCAGCCCACACACGCGCGGGGTGATTGTGCAGCGGAACCACCGCTCGAACCAGCCCGAGGCTCTCGCGCCACATCACCTCCGGCGGCGGTGCTGGTGGCGGCGGCTGTGTGTTGCAGGCCCCCTCTCTCTCCCTCTGTTGCTGCCGTTGCAACTCGTCCGCCTCCCCGTCCGCGCGCTTACTGTCAACTGGCCGCGACGACGACGACGACGACGATGGCGGCGGCGGCGGCGGGTGGCGCTGCAGCAACTTGTAGACATGTTTGGCTGTGAGCACCAGCTGCACGTCGTAGCCGCTCGGAAAGAAGTCCAACTCACGGCCGTCGTCGCCAACTTTGTGCCGCACAACGGTGCTGCCGGTGATGTACACGTCGCCGTGCGGCTCAAGGATGCGCACGACGCCCCGCCCGCTCATCCCGCACCAGCCGCGTCGCCCGCCGCTACTCCCTGGACGATACTCGGGCAGTCTGCAGGGCGAGGCAAGCAGGGAAGGGGCAGTGGAGGAGGGAGAAATGACACAAGGAGGCAACAAGCACACACGCAGAAGGGGGGGGGGGGAGGGAAAAAAAAAACGAATTCGAGAGAAACTAACACCGCTCTTTTTTTTTTT